ATATATATGTGATAGGAGCAAAGTAATTGCAATATGTATATAAGAAAAAGGAGTCGTCTAAGTATTATTTGCGTTTATTATCTGCTTATAAAAGTTCTAGCAATAGTTTTATGTGTCAAAAATGTTCAACAAAGTATTTATTATTGAATATTTTTCAAAACTTGTGTTATTCCATAACATTCCATAATAAAAAATGTCAAAAATTGCTCTTTCTCAACACGCTTTAAATTTTCAAAACTGAACCTTTTATAAATATATTGGAAAGTAAAACCTGAAATTCATGTAGTGCAGCAAATTTGACCACATTCAAACCATTTGGTGTCAAAATGTCAGGCTGACGATGTATTAAATGCTCTGCTTCAATACTTGTTATTTGGCTAACAGTTGTGAAAACATGTGCCATATGACAAGCTGCTCGTTCCATGCAATACTGATGATAAATCTAAAATATGTAAATTTTCTACATGCTACATGTAGAAACTTTTTTTGAAGTTCTTAATTATTGACTGATTCTTTCACTTTTAACCTATTATTTTTGAATAGTATATAAAAACTGAAAAAATTATCACGAAAAAATTTTGAAGTCATTATTTTCGCTTTGTCTGTTAAAAATAATTATTAATATTATGGGGCAATTTTTTCAAAATAATGATTTTATGTTTCCAATCGTAAAACATCTTATACAAATAAAATTATAATCTAATGGGGTCCACACTAATGAAAATATTATCAATAACAATTAATAATAATAATGTTAATAACAATTAATAATAATAATAATAATAATAATAATAATAATAATAATAATAATAAATAATAATAATAATAATAATAATAATAATAATAATAATAATAATAATACATCAGCTATTTGCATAGTAGTTAAAAGATAATAAATAAAATTTGTGCAATTGTGACAAAAAAATGCACGTAAGCGTAATTATAGAGTCATGAAATGTTATCATATAGACTTTTTTGTAATAAATGCGTAGACTAAAATTGAAATTGAAAAACATTCAACACGTCAAGTTGTCATTGCACTGTTTGCATAGGCCAATTTAAATCTTCGTTTGCAAGCCTACATTTCGCTTTCCCGCTTCT